TATATTTGGCTACGCTCAAAGTTTGAACTTTTGCGTTTTTCATGCCAAGAAAACAATGATAATTTTACCTATTCATCAAATTTTATAATATTTTATTATTTTATTAAACAGTTAAACTATTGTCAAGTATAATGTGTTTAATTACAAAGAAACGAGCTTCACCGATAAATTAGGATAAAAAACTGTTTGCATATACTTTTATTTAATCACAATAAAATGTGATAATGATTTGCAAAGTCCATAATCACCGCTTCCTGGATTTGATAAGTATACAAATAAATAATAATTTTAGTAAGTTTCAAAACCTATCTTGTTTTTTTTATTAAGTATTTTAAATATAGCGATAGTGGTTTTAATCCTTTAAATTAAGTAAAAGCATATAAATCATATATATATATATATTTATACATTCAAAAAATGATTAATTTGCTAAATCACATAACTTGGAGAATACCGTATATTATTTTGACATTAAATAAATTAAGTCACAATTTAAGAAAAGTCTTTAAAAAAAATAATTTATTTGCTATCATGAAAATTACCAGGACTTTTGGTAGGGCATTGTATTTTTATCAGAATCTACCAATTCCTTTCTGTAAGCAAATATGTACAAAAAAATTTGGTATTTACTATAAAATAATTAACGATTGTTTTTTTTTTAAAAAAGGAAATCACATTACCGAAGCAAGAACTCCGATCAAACTTTTTGAAACAAAACCAACAAAAGTATCAATTTCTCCGACAGCTCGTCCAAAAGTTGCAATATCTTGTAATCTTCGATCTAAAAATTGAAATGTACCTCTATAATCTGGTGATGTGTCTTGAGTCATGTATAATTCTAATTTCAATTTAATATAAATATAAGATTAATTAGAAATAAATGAATTTTATAAATGATCTAAACAATTCTCACCCGTAGAAGAATATATTACTGCAAGACTTCCTCTCTTAGTGTACCAATTCATCTAATTGTAATAAATAATTTAATATTATGCATATATACATGATAGTTAAAATATTACGGACAGTCCATTTATAGGGCGAATAGATTAATGTTGTATCAGAACTTATAGCACTATAGTTGTTTTAAGTACACTGGCTACCCATAGTTGACATCAAAATTAATTTACAAAATTTCGCATTTCCGAAACGCATATTAATTACTCATTAATTGTCGATTAACAATATAAATGCGCGTACCATATTATCTTGAAATATTTCCAGGAGCGTTATTGTGAGATGCACAATTTAAAGAGAGCTAAGAATTAATTTAATCGAAGATAAACAAATATTGTTCGAATTCGGGTAAATTAATTCTTAGCTCTCTTTAAATTTTGTATCTCGAAATAACGCCCCTGCTCCTGACCGTTATTTCGAAATGATACGGTAAATGTTGAATTGAAATCCAGCAATTTAGACGTTAATTATAGTGGATACTTATAATTGGTAATTAAAAATATCCACGATACGGGCGGGTTATTGGATAGAAAAAAAACTGGATTATCAAATATTGTATTGCTCTTAAAATAAAGGATATACTAAATTATAAAAATTTTGATGGAGATGTGCCCGTAACTATAGTCAACGTCAAAATTAATTTGC